CTGTGTAGCTTTGCGCCTTTCCTGGAACTCACTTTGTGGACCAGGCTGGCCTCGAACTCACAGAGATCCGCCTGCCTCTGCCCCCCAAGTGCTGGGATTAAAGGCGTGCACCACCGTCGCCCGGCATCAGGCTCTTTATTTTATTTTATATTATTTTTTGTTTTTTTGAGACAGGGTTTCTCTGTGTAGCTTTGCGCCTTTCCTGGAACTCACTCTGTAGACCAGGCTGGCCTCACACAGAGATCCATCTGCCTCTGCTTCCTGATGGCTGAGATTAAAGGTGTGTGCCACCATGCATGGCACATTTTCATTCTTACCAGGCATGGTGGCTCATGCCTGTAATCCCAGCACTCAGAGGAGGCTGAGGCTAAAGGATCACTGTGAGTTTGAGGTCAACTTAGGCTACAAAGTGAGCTCTTATCTCAGAAATACAAAATAATGCTAAAAAACAGGCCTAGGGCTGGAGAGATGGATCAGAGGGTGAAATGCTTGGAGGATCTGAGTTTGGATCCCCAGCACCACGTTAAAGCTAGATGTGAGTACGTCTACGATTCTAGTGCTGGAGAAGACACAAGGCTTGGGACAGCAGAGTGCTAGCTTCAGTGAGAAATACTGTCATAATAATAATAATAATAATAATAATAATAATAATAATAATAATAATAATATAATGATGATGATGATGATGATGATAGTAAAGGTGGTGAGCAATAGAGGAAGATACCAGCATTTACCTCTGGCCTCTTTCTGTCCCTTGTATAAATACACACACTCATACACATACATATAACCTCCCCCACACGCATATGCACACACATGTTTTAAGACATAAAATTTCCATTCCATCTCTGAATTGCCACTGTTTGGTAGTTCTGATATTTCCACTTTAGAATTAAAGCACAAATTATTTGTCAGGACCAAATACGTGCTCCTGGGGGAGCCAAACACTGCACCAGGATTGCAACCACCTCCTTGAGTGGCCACTGTGCATGGCGTCACTACTGTCAAGTGAGATGATTCTTCTTCTTGTATGCTCACCTCCAGGGAGTGGTTTAGCTTGCTTCTTCAGCTGGACTATAAATGGAAATCTCTCTCCCGCCCACCTGTTCCCAAATACCTGGCAGCTGCTTCCCAAATAACCGACTCAGAGGCTTGTTTATTTATTTATATTACTTATAAATGCTCAGCTGATAGCTCAGGCTTGTTACTAGCCAACTCTTACACTTAAATTAACCCATATTTCTATTTACACTTTCCCAAGTGGCTCACGGCTTGTTACTTCATTTTCTATATGTCCTGCTTGCCCAGTGGCTGGCTGGCATATCCCCCAACTCTCTTCACCCCACTCTCCTTCTTCCCATCATTCCCAGTTTGGCTTTCCCACCTAACCTCCTGCCCAGCTACCAGCCTGTCAGCTTTTTGTTAACCAATGAGAGTAATGTATATTCAGAGTAGAAACGGATTGCTCCACAGCACTGGACTCTATTTCTTGAGGAAAAAGTGATCTCACAAAATTTTGAAGCCATCTAGTCTCTTAGGTTTCCTCTCACGTGCAATTCTGAATGAGCTTCATAATTCCCAGTATACTTTGTGTTTTTCTTACTCTGCTGTCTAAGGTCACCCTGACCTTTTTCTCTGTTGCAGTACCAGTTAGTTATACTCAGACAGTCATAAATAAAATGTTTTGTGGTAGAGTTTCCCACCTGTTTTGCCTTTGTATCTTCTAGTAACTTCTATCATGGCGGCTGAGAGAAAAGTCTTGAATACACTCCTAGTCCACTCTTGCAGGTTGGATAGTTTTGCTGGGTATAGAACTCTTTGTTCAAAGTTGTTCCTTTGGGATTGTGAGACTGCTCAGCAGTCAAGAGCACTTTCTGTTCTCAGAGGACCGAGGTTTGGTTCCCAGCACTCACATGGCAGCTCACAACTGTCTGTAACTCCAGTTTTGGGAAATCCAGTGCCCTCTTCTGGACTCCACAGGCACTTACACGTGGTGTATATACATAAGTACAGGCAAAATACCCATACACATATAAAATGAAAATAAGTAAATCCAAACAAAAAAGTCACTCCCAAGTCTATCTAAAACTTTTTCTATGGGGGCTGGAGAGATGGCTCAGAGATTAAGAGCACTGACTGCTCTTCCAGAGGTCCTGAGTTCAATTCCCAGCAACCACATGATGACTTACAACCATCTGTAATGAGATCTGGTGCCCTCTTCTGGTCTGCAGTCATACATGCTGTATACATAATAAATAAATAAATGTTAAAAAAACAACTTTTTCTAGCTGAGTCTGAGGAAGGGATTTCTCATTTCTTTTATACTGATTATAAAAAAAAACCTTATCAGCTTTTTCCTGCTCTTGGTTTTTTAAAATTGCAAGATTCTTTCTTTCCTTTTTTTTTTTATTTTTTATTTTTGGAAGACAGGGTTTCTCTGTGTAGCCCTGGCTGACCTGGAACTCGTTCTGTAGACCGGACTGGCCTCGAACTCACAGAGATCCACTTGACTTGGCCTCCTTAGTGCTGGATTAAAGGTGTGTGCCACTACTGCCCAGGCACACTCAGCTTTATCTACCTATCTATCTATCTATCTATCTATCTATCTATCTATCATCTATCTATTTATTTATTTATTTAAAGATTTATTATATATGTAGTATTCTGTCTGCATGTATGCCTGCATACCAGAAGAGGGCACCAGATCTCATTATAGATGGTTGTGAGCCACCATGTGGTTGCTGGGAATTGAACTTGGGACCTCTGGAGCTCTGAGCCATCTCTCCAGCCCTGAACTCAGTATTTTTTTTTTTTTTTAAAGTTTTACTTACTTATTTATTGTGTATACAGTGTTCTGCCTGCATGTATGCCTGCAGGTCAGAAGAGGGCACCGGATCTCATTATGGATGGTTGTGAGCCACCATGTGGTTGCTGGGAATTGAACTTGGGACCTCTGGAGCTCTGAGCCATCTCTCCAGCCCTGAACTCAGTATTTTTTTTTTTTTTTAAAGTTTTACTTACTTATTTATTGTGTATACAGTGTTCTGCCTGCATGTATGCCTGCAGGTCAGAAGACCAGGCTGGCCTCGAACTCACAGAGATCCGCCTGGCTCTGCCTCCCGAGTGCTGGGATTAAAGGCGTGCGCCACCACCGCCCGGCCCAAACTCAGTTTTAAATGCTAACACATTTCTATTGTCTTGCTATCTCACTGTGAATGCCTCAACCTTCCACTCACATGGGGGTGTGTGGGGGTGTGCACTATAGTGGGCTGGTTTTATCCAGCTCACATTAGTCTTATGGAGTTCTACCAAGAAGGAAAGGGAAACCTTCCAGAACAAGACATGTGTGTGGTTTGCAACAGCATTCAACCGACTCTGCTACATTCCTGGACGAAGCCAGGCAGGCAGAGAGTAAACCTAAACACTAACAGCATCCAGTTGGCCGGTCATTTTTATTTGAGATGCATCCTTTGACACGTGGCTGTTGCAACGTGTCCCCACCTGTATTCTATGTAGTTATAAAGCAGCCCTCACACTGCTGTACTGAAAACTATTGTTTGGGCAACGAAGACCTGAATAGGCTGCACGGGGTGAGTTTCCAAATCCCTGTGTTTCCATCAGCCACTCATCTCCGTTGCTTGTGTCTCAAGGAAGCACAGGCATGGGAATAGAGAAGGTAAAGCACGCGGATCTGGGGCAGGGGCTTACCTGTGTGTGAGCGCAGGTGCACGGTGAGCTGGCTGGAGTTGCGGCTGGCGTAGGGGCAGATCTGGCACTTGTACGGCCGCTCGTCCGAGTGGATGCGCAGGTGCTTCTTGAGGCTGCTGCTGTCTACAGCCGCGTAGTCGCACAGGTGGCACTTGTGTGGCTTCACGCTCGTGTGGCAGCGCATGTGCATGGTCAGGTTGTCCTTCCGGCTGAAGCACTTGTCACAGAACTCACACTTGTGAGGCTTGTCACCTTCAAACACATAAGCAGTTAAGGTTAGAGTTTCGCGTTTTCCCGTTGCCATGATAAAATAGGTGGACGGAGCACCTTAAAGGAGAAAGGGTTTATTTTGGCTCACAGTTCAAGGATACAGTCCACCAGATGGATAAGTATCGTACACCGCATCCACAATCAGGAAGCAGGAATGAATGCCCGTGCCTGCTCAGCCTCCTTGCTCTAGTAAACAGTCCAAGATCCCAGTCAGGAAACGGTGCCACCCAGTCTTTATACCTCGATTAATTCCATCAAGGAAATGCCCCGAGGCACGCCCAGAGGCCTGTCTCCTAGGTAATTCTAGACTCCTTGTCAGGTTGACAATTACACTAACTGTCACAGGGGGAAGACACAGATTTGATCAAGATGACAGTGTAGACAGATGGCCTGCCTCCCCTCTGTCCAGTGACCACACACAAAGGAGGAAACCAGAAGTCACCGAGAGGAACAAGAAAGTGAGCCAAACATCCCTGCGAATCCTAAGACACAGGTTAAGCAAAGTTCCGAGGCCAAATCCTGGTAGGGACACAAAGTTCACACACGAGTTCAAGGTGAGAAGTGACAGGTGTAGGGAGGGGTCTTGGGCAGACTTCCGGCCCCTGGGTGATAAAGCACTTACAGAAGGACCAGGCTGACTTTACCAGCTTCATCTCTGCTCCTGGGCCTCATGTAGCCTAGGCTGTCCTTGAACTCACTATGTAGCTGAAGGTGACAGACCTTGAACTCCTGACCCTCCTGCTTCTACCTTCCTGAGTACTAGGGGCCATTATGCTCACCCCATACCCTCTTTCTTCCTTTTTTTTTTTTGACAGGGTCTGTGTATCCCTGGCTGTCATGGAACTCTTTATGTAGTTCAAGGCTGGTCTTGAACTCACAGAGATCCACCTTCCTCTACTTCCCAAGTGCTGGGATTAAAGGCATCCATCACAATATCTAGCCTTTATACCCCTTTTGGATTGGAGTTACTCCCCTTTGAACTTTTTTATGCGTGTGTGTGTGTGTGTGTGTGTGTGTGTGTGTGTGTGTGTGTGAGAGAGAGAGAGAGAGAGAGAGAGAGAGAGAGAGAACCCTCATGAGGCAGTGCCAGTGTCGGGGTGAGAGGTCAACCTTTGGAAGTCAGTTCCCCCTTCTACTATGGGTTCCATGGATCGAATACGTTGGCAGGCTTAATCAGCAAGTGTCTTTATCCAGTGAGCCGTATCGATGGCCCTTTTTGGTAATAATAAAAAGGTATGCTATCAAGAAAAATCAGGCAGGATGTGCACTCCTGTGATCCTAGCATGTGGGAGGTGGAGACCAGAATTAAGAGTTCAAGGTTATCCTCCCCCGCACAGTGAGCTGGAGGCTAGCCTGGGATACATGAAACCTCTCAAAACCAAGAAAGTACTCCACCAAGAGGGGACCTCTTCAGGTGATGCTGGTGTACCCTTGCAGGCTGGGCTGTGACAATATGTACCTTTTGTTGGGGATGTCCAGAGCAGGAGAGGGTGTGGGAAGTGGGGATTGGGAACGTATGGGAGTGGCTTTCGGTCCAATTTCTGTGCACACCCAAAGCCGCTCTAAAAAATAATATGTATTAGAAGAAAAGGATAGGAAAGCATCTCCCACTATCAGGGCTGGGCGTGTAGCCCAGGGCTGGGTGCTTGCCTAGCGTGCACAAGACCCTGAGCTCCGGGAGGTAAGCGTAACCAACAGAGAACGGAAAGCCGCCTCGCCATTTCCAACCACACACGAGGCCCGAATGTCATTACACGTGTGTGTCAACACCGAGCAACACAACACATTGTACACAGAAACAGCTATCCAGTCTGCTCACTGGTCCTCTAAGACAGAGGGAGTTGCCAAGACGTGGGCCATGCTTCCCATCAGGTTCTGCCTTGGGAGGTAGTTTCTGCTCATTAAGATGTCAGATTAATACGATCGGTCTGCTGCTATTGTAAAATGAGTATTTTAATGTTTCAGCTTTCATTTCTTATGCAGGAGCCACAAGAGGACATAAGTTTGTTGGAGACTGTGATGGTCTATGAATGTCTCTCAGTTCAGGGCATCTGAACACTTAGCCCCTGGTTGTTGGTGCTGTGGGGGAGGGTTAGGTGAAGCAGCCTTGCCGGAGAAGCGCACCACAGGAAGCTGGCTGGCCTTGAGAGGGAAGCTCCAGCGTCACCTGAAGTTTGCTCTCCCTGCTTCAGGCACTTGGCTGGGGACTGCCAGCTTCCTGTTGCGGCCACCATACCTGCTGTTTGCTGTCATGCTTCCTGCCACGACGCAGCAGTCTTCACCCTCTGAAATTCCAAGCCCAAATGAACTCTTCTACAAGTTGCCTTGGTCGTGGAGTTTTATCACAGCCACAGAAAAGTAACCAGCACAGAGGCCTTCAGCTTCCAAGCACAAAAGGGTCCTCAACAGGGCTTTCTCAACTGCTTGGCAATCTAGTGTTGGCCACCATTGGCCGGGTCCCTCTGTTCTACTAGTGACAAGTGATGGTGGTTCTGGGCCATTCCCTGAGGGAGGGATTCTGTGAGATCTCCAGGACCTCCTAGTTTTTTCATTTTTAAAAATGACATTTATCTCCCCCCTCCCGTGTGTGTGTGTGTGTGTGTGTGTGTGTGTGTGTGTGTGTGTACACATGTACACGTGTGGAGGTTGGAGGACAATTTGTGGGAGTCAGTTCCCTCCTTCCACCATGCCGCCAGCTTTACTTAACTCTCCTACTTCAGTCTCCCGAGTGCTGGGCTATGGGAGTCCACCACCATGCTCTGTCCCGGCTCACTTTGTCAGTTAAGAGATTGGAAGAGACAAACCAGATGCTGTGAACTCCAGGAAGCAGCCCCTGTCTCTATACCTCAAGGATCAGCTCTTGCACAGCTTCCTTATCCCCAGCATGCCTCTATCAAGCGGGTAAACACCACCAGTCCCCTCCTCTTGGTCACCTCCGCTTCGAGCACCTGGGCCAATCCATTTCGGGTTTAGGGTTCTTCTGTCCACTAGATGGCAGCAGTAACCCCCCCTCCCCCCAGCTCCTGATGCGTGCCTCAGCGGGATGGTCAGGATACTTGGGGACCCTGAATTGGCCTCTGTGTTGGTAAAGCCTTCTGACCCCAGCCCTGGGATGCCTGGCTGCATGTTCCAGGGACACCTCATCTGCTGCGGTGAGGCACGATCTTCCTCACTAAAGCGGAAGAAGCCGACCCTTCCCTCACCCTCCGGCGGTCTATAACCCCCAGTCCGTGGGCCGCAGCAGCTAGCAGAGGTCCAGAAGGCTCTGCGATCTCAATGCTGCAGCTCCAAGGCAGACCCGGGCAGTGGCGGCCATCCCCACAGCCACGCCTTGCTCCTCTGGATGCTAGGCAACACCACTGAATCTCCACTCTTTTCACGGGATCCGAGGCTGCTCCGGGGCCACCCGCAGAGGGAGGTAGCGCTGTAAGCATCCCCAGCCTCAATCTTATTTCCTACTGTAGAGAGTCACAGATTGAGACCTTGGTCCCAGAGATGGCCATAAACTGTGCTCAAAAAGGAAACAATCGGATTATATTTAATGTAGGAAGTACAGTTTACAGAAAGCCTTAGAAAAACCCCAAACTATTAAACACACAGGCTTTTTTCTTCAAGGGAAGAAAAAGACACCTGGTCAGCCGGAAGGCTGGGGCGGATGTTGTCTAAAAACTCAGGGATCTTTTGCTATTCTATGGGGCCAGCCTTCACCTGAACCGCCCCCCCCCCCCAAGGCTGAGTGAGCACTGTTTGGGCCCCTAATCCTGAGCTTTGTCTCCCAGTGAATAGAACCCATCCCTATGAAAGAGGCCCCATCCTCCAGCAACAGAATCCATCCTTATGTTTATTCCGTTCCTCCCTGGCTGATCCCTGAGCACTGTTGATCAGTTGGTAGAGCCCATTCTTACGGTGAAACCCATAAGAATGCTTGGTCATAGAGGTGTACTTTGCAAGGGGGTTTCAGTTTAAATGTATAAGGAAATTAAACCGCTTGGTCAGGCTCTAGAAGTTTTTGATCTGGTGCCTGCTCACCTCATATGAATCCACCTGTGCCATTTGCAGGGGCACTAACAAGGTAAGCCACTCAAATTGCTTCTGTCAGCAGCAAATGAACCAGTACTCTGGCCCAGAAAGGCACTCAAGAGGACGGACACATGGACACACACACACATACATATTTTTCCTTAGAGACAGAGTTTCTCTGTGTAGCTTTGGTGCCTGTCCTGGATGGATCTCGTTCTGTAGACCAGGCTGGCCTCAAACTCACAGAGATCCGTCTGGCTCTGCCTCCTGAGTACTGGGATTAAAGGTGTGTGCCACCACTGCCTGGCGAGGGTATATACTTTTTTTTTTTCTTTTTCCGGAGCTGAGGACCAAACCCAGGGCTAGGCAAGCGGTCTACCACTGAGCTAAATCCCCAACCCGTGGTATATACTTTAAAGAGGCAGATAATAGCTGTTTGGGACTTTGGGGCACCACTCTGTGCCCCCAGTTCTCAGGTCCACTTCTGTAAAACCACATCAGTCACAGAGGCCAGCTAGACACAGGGTATGGCAGTGGCTGGGAGCCCTTGGGTTGAAGCCCAGAGTCTGTTGACGAGAGAGGTGTGTCCAGTGCATGCGCAGAGCACAGCTATGAATTCGGACCAACAGAGCATCCCGAGATGTTTTTCCCTGTGATTTGAGCATGTGGTTCTGGAGTGTGGACTTTATAGACAATACTCCGCCACTATATCAAAAGGTTGGACGTGCCAGTAAGTCAGACCCAGATGTTCCTTGGTTTAAGCAACCCGTGTCTACCTTCTGTACTTGGCGACCAGAGTAGTCCTGAAGCAACAGCTCGCTGCTCTGAGCTCTGTCAAGGCCGTCCCCACATCCCTTCCTTCCTGGTCCAAGCCCACCTCCTAAGCTAGATGCCACCAGCCAGAGACCCACCGCCTGGTGCACTCCTGGGTACCCGACACTTAACTCAATCCACTTCCTTGTATTTTTTTCTCGACTGCTAGGTGGGTGAGTGCGTACGTACCTGTGTGGATTCTTAGATGGCGGTCCAAATCTTTCATGCCATGAACAGTTTTGAAACGACAACCTAGGAGAGAAAGAAGCAACACTTATTGGAATTGCAGGCCACTCCCCCAGCTACATGACGGCACATGCGCGGCTTGATCACATAACCTATGCGCATGCGTGGCGAAGCTATGTAAGCCCATATGCGCATGTGTGGGGAATCCATAAACAGTGGGTCTCAAGACTCCTCCCCCTTCGTCCTTTTTCTCCTATGATCATTTCCATAGGCCTAAGCACATCTTTCCCTAGTGAACTCTTACAGTGGGCTTTGTTGTACCCCATGGCTTTTCTTGCATGGTCAACAGTGCCGCACCGCATAATGACAGTTAACAAAACTGGCTCTTAAAATGCCCAGTTTCCCGAACCCCCACGGTCCGACTGATGACAGCCCACCTATGCCACCATTTCCTGCTCTCAGTCAACCAATGACAACACCTGCCCAACACTTTGTCACAAAACTTTTTGTTAGCTGGCTCTGCTCGGCCTTAATCTAAGGTGAGTGTCCTGCACAAGGCTTAAAGACCGGGGCTAGGACAGTTGGTGGCCGAGGGTATTCTCATGAGTGCATTCTCGTTTCCTTGTGTCTGGCAGTGCAGGGAATGGGACCTCTGGCATCCTAGGCAAGCATTGTGCCACTGAGACACATCTCAGCACTCATGATTTTCTTCTTTCTCCCCTCCTTCTTTTTTAAAATATTTTTACAGTATCTGGCTGGACTAAACTCACTACACACAGCAGGTTGTCTTAAAGCTTTCAGTAATCCTCCTGCCTCTGCCTCCTAAGTGCTGAGATGATTCCCATACCTATTCCTCCTGCATTTTAAAATTTTTTATTTATTTTTATGTTATGTACAATGATAATTTCTTTTTCCCTTCTTCTTCTTCTTCTTCTTCTTCTTCTTCTTCTTCTTCTTCTTCTTCTTCTTCTTCTTCTTCTTCTTCTTCTTCTTCTTCTTCTTCTTCTTC